CTTCGTCTGCGTTATGCAACATGGGTGCGTCGCCGTCGTCGTCTGATACGATACCCATACGCGCTGCTCGCTCGGCGGCCTTGCGCTTTTCTCGCTTCTCGCGACGCTTTTGCTTGGCGAGAGCTTTGTCGTCCACATCTGCCTCGCGAACACGCGATGTCTCGTCCTCGACGAATTTGCGACGCTGTTCTTCAGCTGGACCCTCTCCCATGAAGTCGTCCTCGTCCTTGAGCTCGTAGATAGCATGGGCGTTGCCGTCATCGTCAAATACGACTTTGGTTGAGTTGCCCTTGAACTTGAGCATCTTCTTCTTTGACTTGAGAGCCTTCTCACGACGTTTCGAGTCGACCACAAATGGCTCTTCACCACCAAGACCATCAATGACCTTTGCCGTGCTCTTGAAAGCGTTGTTTGCCTCGTCGTCTAGCTCATCATCTTTCAGGACTCTCTTGACTGACAAGAAATCGCCTTCGTCATCATCCGCATTCTCATCGCCGTCAAGCACAAGCTTGTTGTAGTGACTTGACAGAACGTCCTGATTTGTTCGCTCAAACATCTTGTCGTACTTTGTGCGCACCTCGTTCTTTTTCTTTGACTTTTCGCCGTCTTCTTCCTCCTCAGAGTCGCTAGACATGCCAGCACGGGGAGCATTCTTTATTTTCTTGATATCCTCGCCTTTTCTGAACTTGACCTGCGGTGTACCAGGGAGACCGAGACTAGCAGCGAAGCCATCAAGATCTAGTTTGTTGAACTTGAAAACATCCTTGTCTCTTTGTAAATGAATTGACCGTGTGTAACTGATGAAGGCCTTTTGGCCAAGGTACTTCAGATCTGGGTTCTGGAAGCACATGCTTTGTAGTTGATCCTTGATACTCTTCTTTTTCTTCTCCTTGACATTCACCTTTTGTATGGGGATCTTCTTCTGCTCAAGCTTCTTCAACATTCCTGGCTCTTCGCTGGGGTCGAGGAATAGTACAGCTCGACCATTGCTTTGATATCGAGCTGTTCTTCCAACTCGGTGGATATATGTATCAACGTCCTCGGGGCAATCAGCCTGAATAACCCAGTCGACGGCAGGGAAATCGATTCCTCGCGCGACGACATCTGTCGCAAACAAACACGATTGTTTCGCAGCTGTGAATCTGTTTGTAATTTCCATTCGTGCAATTTGCTTCTGACGACCGTGAAGATGCAGTAGAGGAATACCAGGCTGAAGATGACGGAAACTCTCGTATACGAATCGAACTTGTTTGCCTGAGCTCAGAAAGACAATAATCTTGCTCTTCAAATTGGCCTTGATGAAGCCATATAATGTGTCGAGTTTCTCTGTCAAAGGTGTAATGATGTAGTGCTGTTGGAGGTTTGTAGGAGTGGCGCTGACGGCTGCTTCGTGAACAGAGACGTATTCGGGGTCCTTGAGGCTGAGACGAGCAAGATCCGAGACCTTCTTGCTCTGGGTGGCACTGAACATGAGTGTCTGTCGTGATTTGGGCAGATGCTCGACCAACGCATCAACATCATGTTGGAAACCCATATCCATGATGCGATCTGCTTCGTCAAGGACCAAGATTTGCAAGTTGTTGGCGTCGAAACCAGCTGTCTGATCCAGATGCTGCAGCATTCGACCGGGCGTGCAAATCAAAATATTCATTCGATCCAATCGTTCCGCTTCCTCCTTCAGGTTCTTTCCACCGATGACCAAGCCTGCAGAGAAAACATGGTTTCTGCCAATCTTTCTAAGCACCTCGAAGATCTGTACCGCAAGTTCTCGAGTTGGAGAAATGATAAGGGCACCGAGTCCATCGTATTCGGTCCATTGAGCACGGTAGAGTTTCTCGAGAACGGGAACAAGGAAAGCCAGAGTCTTTCCGCTTCCTGTCTTGGCAGCTCCCATAACATCTTTGCCCTTGAGAGCCAGTGGAATGGCGTGAGCTTGAACATCGGTAAGGGTCTGGAAATGTGAGGCTTCGAGGCCGGTGGCGGTCGGTACAGAGAGAGGAAGATGGGGAAAGTTCTTGATCTCATCCGACTTGGGGTCCTAAATTCGTGTTAGCTAGAGTGAGACTGTCGTAAATTATATCCCCATACCAAATCGTTTACTCGTTGTTCAAGCTGCTGAAGATCCTCTTGCGCTCTCTTGCGCTTCTGTTGGCGCTGCTCGGTTCGACCATTCTTTTGAGGTTTAGGCCCTCGCCCAGGTCGCGCATGAGGAGGCATTGTTGGGGTCTGCGACGATATAGATGAAGAGAATTGAGGTGATGTTCTCTAGACCTTGTCGTTGGCGCAAACCAAAATCGAAGTCCAAGTCCAAAGTCACTGGAAATTTTTTGGAAAAGTCACGGCGCCTGGCAATACCGATGGCCGACTGTGGGGCACCTTACCGGAAGAAGCTTACCGCTATGGCAGAAAAGATTCACCGCCAAAAAATTGAATCCAACTGTTTTCTGCCCCTCCACTCAAGCAAGCTTCGCGTATTCATCACAACTAGCTTCGTTAAGACAACATGAAAAACGACAAGAAAACGAAGAAGTCTGCCCCTGCGGCGAGTCAGATCGCTGATAAGCGATTTGCCGACTTTGAGACCGATCCTCGATTCCGATTGCCCTCGAAGAAGCAGACAAAAACCACAATCGACAAGCGATTCTCGCGCATGCTCAAGGATGATGAGTTCACTGCTACCGCCAAGGTCGATCGATATGGCCGAAAAGTAAAGTCGGATTCCAAGAAGAAGGCTCTGCAAAGGTTGTACCGCGAAGAGGATGAAGACGAAGACGAAGACGAGGAGGAAGAGGGAGGCGAGGAGGAAGACATCGAGGTCGACGATGACGAGGTCGTCCAGCGAGAATTGCGAAAGGCGCACGAGAAATACGACCCTGCTCGAGGCGGTGGTTTCTCATCTTCTGAAGATGACTCTGATTCTGAGGAGGAAGAGTCCGACTCCGACGAAGAAGAAGGCGGCGCGCAAGTCGATACCGAGGGAGACATGCAGCGATTTCAAGACGAGCAAAACGATGTCGAGGCTGGAGAAGTGACGAATCGAATCGCTATTGTCAACCTTGACTGGGACCACGTTAAATCTACCGACCTCATGGCTCTCTTCAACAGTTTCCTCCTCGAGACTGGTGGCAAGATTGAAAAGATTTCAGTATATCCTAGTGAATTTGGCAAGGAGCGCATGCAGCAGGAAGAAGTTGAAGGACCCCCGAAGGAATTGTTCAAGAACTCTAAGAATGACTCGGACGACGATTCGGATGACAGCGACGAGGAAAGTGAAGATGGAGACGAGCGAATCAAGAAGAGTTTGCTCCAAGAGGGCGATGATCAGGACTTTGACAGTGATGCGCTACGATCTTACCAGCTCGACCGTCTACGATACTACTATGCCGTAATGGTCTGCTCAAGCCCAGCGGTTGCGCAGAAGCTCTATGAGGCTGTCGATGGACGAGAGTACCAGTCATCTTCCAACTTCCTCGATCTTCGATTCGTTCCCGATGATGTTACTTTCGATGATGAGCCCAGAGACGAATGCGAAAAGGTGCCCGAGTCATACAAGCCTGTTGAGTTCGTGACAAACGCCCTTCAGAGCTCAAAGGTCAAACTTACCTGGGACATGCATCCCGAGGAGGCATCGCGCAAGGAGTCCATCAACCGTGCTTTCAGCGGTAGTCGCAACGAGATCGAAGAGAACGATCTCCGCGCATACTTGGCAAGCGACAGCGAAGATGACGACGTGGAGGAAGAAGAGGTCGTTGAGGAGAAGGGCGAGGATGAGCCCAAGCTTTCCAAGAAGGAGTTGGCGCGTCGAAAAATGCGCGCTGCTCTGGGTCTATCTGAGGAGCCTACCAAGTCTTCCAAGAACGTCCCCGTAGGTGATATGGAGATTACGTTCACCCCTGCTCTATCAGAGAGCGCACCTAAGAAGACAGCTGAGGAGGAGACCACAATTGAGAAGTACATCCGAAAGGAAAAGGAGCGTAAAGAGAAGAAGCGCGAAGCTGCACGAGCTCGACGTGCTGGCCAGGACCCTGAGGCCGAAGAGGAGGAAGATGAGGTTGTCGAGGCACCTGAAGGCGAGACTGATGACCTTGGCTTCGATGATCCTTTCTTCACTGCCGCCGAAGACCCCGCAGCATCGTCCAAGACCTCCATCCGCAAAGCCGACCGTCTCAAGAAGCGCGAAGCCCGCGAAGCCGCAGAGGCCGAAAGCAAAGCCCAGAAGCAACAACTCGAGAAAGTCATGGCCAACGCAGACGCGGACCAAGCCGACCATCTAGACCACTTCGACATGAACGAGATCGTGCGCGCCGAGAAAGCCAAGAAGAAGAAGGGCAAGGCCAAAAAGAAGGCCCTCGCGAAGGAGTCTCGCGGCGGTCTGCAGGAGGACTTTAGCATGGATGTTGATGATGATCGTTTCAAGGCTGTGTTTGAGAGTCACGAGTATGCTATTGATCCTTCGAATCCCAAGTTCAAGGCTACGGAGGGTATGCAGAAGTTGCTGGAGGAGGGTAGGAAGAAGAGAAGAAATGCGGAGGGGGGTGATGAGGAGCCTAGTAGTAAGAAGGCTAAGAAGGGACGGAGGTAATGTAATAGGTAGATTCTGTGTATCTGTTTAGATTGGAGTTGGGTCAAAAGTGGTATTTGATAGCATAAATCATAAAGCATATACTGTTCAGTTCCTCTCTTCTGACGCTCAAACATGACCCTCGATAAAAGTTTCTCTTCGGTTCTGTAGATCCCATTATCAACTCTCTATGCATCCAATGGCTTCTGCCCACTCCAAAAGTGCATCTTCCCATAAGCATGAACCTTCGGATCCCTCATAGACTGTCTACACTCTGCAAAAAACACCTCCATCTCATCCTTCCCCCAACCCAACTGCGGAAAATGCAGGTTCCCAATCGCCGGGAAGAATTCCTCACATGCAGTTCTATAATACATGCCCACCAATCTCATGACCCTAAAACTCTTAGCAACAGTACTCTCTCGGGATGTTGAGTGACTTACTTGTCTTTTGGCCATGTCCCATAAGGCAATTTAATATAATTATGTTTTATATTAACAAATCCTGCTTCAGCGAGATATTGACCTCCGAATACAGCGGCGTGTGCGTTTGTTTCGTAGAGGGCAAATGCTTGAAGGATGATTTCCGTGAAGCGTTTTAGGGGCCAATCGTCGGGAATACTGTTGTCATCTGTGTGGACTTGACCGTCTACATCTTGCAGTTCTACCCAGGCACCGGGTTTCATATTTCTGATATTATTAGAGAAGTATCGTGCGTGGAATGGGTAAACTTACGCATAAGCTTGCTTGAGGAGTGTTACAGGTGATTTGAGGATTGGGATCATGTTGCGGAGATGAACAAAGTCAAAGTCATCGCCGTTGAGCCATTCATCTTCGATATCATCCACATAAAATCTGTACAAGTTAGACTTGAGAGTATGTGTATGTGAGAATGACTTACTTGACGTTTGGAGGTACCCATGTCGGTTGTATTGGACTTAGATCCAACCCCAACACTTCAGCACTTGGATATTTCTCACCAACTAACACCATTAGCATCTCTCTCTCACAAGCCCATATCTTTTCACATACTCTCAATAGCCCATATCCCCGTACCAGTACCCAAATCCGCTATCTTCTGCGGATTATCCCCAACGGGCGCATAGAATAACCGTCCATCTGTAGCTTCCAACATCATCGTATGAAGCATATCCTCACGATTCTGCTCAACCTCATCGTTCGGTAACGGATACCGTCCATGGCGATAACGATGATATCGACGACCGTTTTGATAGCTGTGTTCGAGAATACTGGAGCTTATGGATGTTGAAGAGGAACGGAGACTTGAAGAATCGTCGGGATCAAACTCGCTGGCGGAGAATTCACCATCTTCATCGCTGCCGCCGGCTTCGATTACTGCGTTGCCGTGTAAGAGGCCTTGGGTATCATCGGGAGATGGGTCTGTATCTGCAGTGGTGTTAGTTGTCATAAGATTGTCTTGTGCGACTCATTTCATCTGTATTCCGACTCTTCCAATCTCAACCAAACATTCTTCCTCTACTCAATGCCCCAAAGTGAATGTCATCCTCATACCTTGTTCATCATGCCCCGCCTGATCTGACGTTTCATGTACTGGAGAACTACTCCTCGGGCTACTCTTCAGACTACTCCTCGGACTCGCTCTTTTGCCTTCTGCATCGTGAGCGCCCATATCTTTGCCGTTTCTCTCCCAACAATCGCAATGCGCCTCGACTCCACGGGACAGCATCTAGTATAAATACTCCCTCACTGGATGTGGGGGAGAGAACAAAAAAAGACCACGAGAATATGCACAATCGGATAAAACATCCAATTAAAGACTCCACAGAGAATGGTCTGTTTTTCTGCTTCCACTGAAAATGTGACAGGTTCCAAAAAAAGACAAGAGACAAGAGGGAAGAAGACCCTTAAACATGATAAATTGCGTAACATGTCAACTTACACTGACGAAACAGGATAGACTAGTCCTCCCGTGCGTAGGTCATCTTTGACTTGCCCGTTTACGCAGAAGCTACACTACAGAACCATCTTTGGAATTTGTGTCTTTGGCAATTCTGACGTCTCAGCGCTGCAAGGCTAGTGCCTGATCTGGACCCCCTGGCGTTGAGAAACATGCCAGTCAGACACGGCACGAGCGAGGTACTATTCACGGTTAGATTTGAACTTCGGGGTTTGAGTTGATGTCCGAGATTTTCGCATTCGAGTAATTTATGGAGATGGGGAAGATACTGGCGTGGGAGTTTGAAGCGAGGTGAGGAAATAGAGTTGGCGAGACCGGGGGATAAGGTAGATCTGACGGGGAGAAGCGAGTGCTGGGGTATGAGCTACAGTTACAGAGGTATCTTGAGTCTAGCTTGGACTTGACGGGGGATGTCACTGGATTGGGTATTCATGTCGGTGTCTTCTTGTTAGTTGCTGATATGTCACTATAATTGGTTATTATGCGCATGGTTAGCGATAATGCAGGATGGCTGAGACAGTTCAAATGTTTGCACTTCAAGTGACAGTCAACCATTCAGTTTGGATGACAGGGATAACTGCATCCGAAATCCTGGGTCTGGACCAGCAAAAGACGTGCAGAGACACAATCAACCTAATTTCACGAAATTCCATGAAAGTGGTTAATCAAGCCAAGGCGCAAGCAAATAGACATCGACAGCTCATGACTCTTTGGGTTGTTTGAATAGCAGCGATGCTTGTCAACCTGACTCAACAAGGCCTCCAATAAAACTCGATCTGTATCAAGGCCAGTTCAGAACCCACCATCTGCATCAAACTATTTATGGACAATTCACCAGCATGACCATATTACAATGCCAGTGTTGCCCCTCCTCATATGCACATGCAGTGCACATTGCGCGTTTACGATAAAATACCAATGCATTGTCCTGCAAGTGTGAGTGTGCGAACGAGTCGAGTGCAATGAAGCTCCTTGGTTGGGCGGGCAGTGTAAGATAGAGATAAGAGATCTGTCCGCGTGATGGTGAAAAAGAGTGGGATATCCCGCACGATCCGGTTTCTCTAGCTGCCGTTTCCGTCTGATAATCACAACACCAAGTCAAAAGTTCGCGATACTAAAAAGACCTTGACCGATCAGACCAAGACTTTGAATGGGGGTTAGGGCGGTGGACTTGTGAAGGCGAGACTGTTGATCTGTTATGCACGAGACCGAAAGCAATATACGACAACACCATCGCAAGACTATTTAAGTTACCATATTTCGCCATACAACCTCTTTACAGAAGAACAGAGAGCAGAGAAGGCTGGGAAAACACCTAGCTGACCCCTGTCGCGAGTCAGATATAGCTCTTCCCCGCTCACCTAACGTTAGAGGCGGGAGAGACGCGATGCACGGTAGCAACCCTCTTTGTATTAATGAGGGTGTGATCACGGTCGCATCGAGAGAGGCTGATGTGCGACCCCTTGAAAGCGCCTGTCGAAGCAGAGGAACGCGGGGGACAAGAGGTGACTCTCGACTCTGTAGTGGTTTGATTAGAAGCAGATCAGAGTGGGATGATGATGATATCGTCTTATCTCCACCAGTTCATCACCAACATCACATCCATTATAATTTATGGTCATTTACTGTAAGATAGAAGTAAATAGACAACACATGCTATGCACCATTCTTCATGATTCATCGCCACTGAAAGGACCCCTAATGCAGAACCGATCATCCCCCTCCCTCAAACAACATGGCTTCATCATTCACTCATTCTTCTCTCACCGACTGTCGGAGCTAAAGTTCCCAAGGCTGCGTCGCATCGAGATCGTGATGGAGGGGAGCGAATTTGGGGGTCATCCATCACCAAAAACGCCACTTTATCTGTGGGGAAACGCGTGAGCTTTGAATGGGTTTTTTTTTTTAGGTGCTAGGCATGGGTGTTACAAGACCTTGGAAGATAATTAATATTGGATCTCTTGTGTGTGTGTCATTATGGTATTCATATTACTAGCAACTCTCCCGTTTCTCTTTGGTCTTCCTGCTTTCTACTTTTTCATCGTCTTTTTAATTCAAGTCCGTGATAATCTTGAGCTCGTTGATCCAAACCCTCCTCCAACAACGTCACCTAATAATAATATCTACTGTGACGAGACGGCTTGAAACTAAAATCGTCAAGGCAATGCCGCCACATTCAACTTCTCCTCTACTTCCCATCTCCACGCCCACAGCCATCGCATCGCCTTATGAGCAACCACCTCCTCCTGCTCCCACAGCAGCGAACCATGTCCAGTCCTTCGCCATCACGACTTTCTCTCTCGCCCGTTTCGCCCGCGGTGTCTCGCTCATAGCATACCCGCGCTTCGGCCTCTGGGCCCTCGACATCGCACCAGATGGTTCAGCGTATATGCTCGCCAGTCTGATCGGCATCCGCGATATTCTCCTCGCGGGTCTCTTGTACACGAGTGACACTGCAAATGCTGCGACCGACTCTGCTGCTCGTCGCGAAGTGACCCGTGCGCTTGCGACGAATCTGTTCAGCGATGCGCTCGATGCGTTCGTGCTGATCTTCTACGCTGCGTGGTCTGATGATTGGGGGAATCCGATTGCGGTCATTGTCATCTCTGCTGTCATGGCCATCTTTGAGCATTTGACGCTGTGGAGCTTGAGTGAGGATGACTGGGCTGCGCATGAGTATGGGAGTCTGGGCGATGATAAGAAGGCGAGGATGAATGCTTGGCTGCGAGAGTTGGAGCGATATGGTCCTGAGGAGTATCGACCTGAGCAGTCTGTTGGGCCATCTTCGCGAGCATCGTTCAGACAGTATGGAGCTATTGTTTAGTTGTTGATGAGCTATGGGTTTGATGAAAAGTTACGTATGTTGTGTTTGTTTGTTCTGCATGGCGTTGATGGTATGTTTTCTTCTGGGGTCGTTTTCAAGATGGTTGATCGTTTGGAGTTGGGAGGGCATGTTGCATGATGATGGATCATGGCGATGTTTTTATGCGATGCATCTGGTTATGCAGTTTATACCTTCAATACCATTGCTTTTGAGTTTGACGTTTGTTATAAGCGTTAGGGACGATGTGGTGTACCTGGTCTTTGTTTTCGTATGTTCTATATAGACTCATCGTATTGAGCTTCAATATAAAGAGGACTCTTATAAAATCTTGTCAAGCTTATCAGTCTGACTATTCCCGAAATCTTCAAATCCCCTGTCTAAAACTCGACAGATAAGAAATGGCGTTAGATTCCATAAATCTCATACGAAGAATCCCATGACATAAACTCAATTACACCTCTACAACAAATCGGAGATGTATATATCTACAACCCTTGCTATGGCGTGATATATCGCATCTGAGGCACAATCCAGGGTCTGGTCTGAGAAACGTGCCGCATGTGGAGCAATATCGGCCGCTAAAATCCTCCGACTCAACGACAAAAGGACGTTAAATCTTTTCTTTTTTATATTTCGCCTCCCTCACTTGTCGCATACACAAAATTGTTATCTCTTGTGCTTCGTCTGTGGTTGCACTTGTACTATTGTTTGCATTGAGTTGTTGCCATGTCTGTACCTCGTGTAAAACGTGTGGCGGTCATCGGCGCCGGGCCAGCGGGTGCTATTGCGGTTGATGCTTTGGCGCAAGAGAAGACGTTTGATCTTATTAGGGTTTTTGAACGCCGTGAAGGACCTGGAGGTTGTTGGTAAGTTATGAGACGTCTAGTTAACTACTACATCATATGGCGAGAGAATTTGAGCTGACGATGAAAGGATCGGTGATACAACTCAACCTCCAACAATCTCAGACCTGGCAAAGCTCGCAGATCGTACAGCAGATGAGCAACTCCCCATCCCTGAGACTCTACCAGCATTTCTTCCCAAGTCAACACAGCCACGCCATGAAGAATCATCTCTGTATCCCTATCTAGAAACCAACGTGGACACATCCACCATGGAATACACACAAGAGCCCATCCCCGAAATCCGCAGTGAGAGATCAATCGGGATGCACGGCCCCAACACACCCTTCCGGCACTGGAAAGTCATGCGTGACTACATAGCAGACATCCTGCATCGCAACCACTACGAAGATCTCATCTCGTACAACACCACCGTGGAACACGTTGAGAAGACAGGCGATGAGTGGAAGGTTGTGCTGAGAAAGGAGGGAAAGAAGCAGGATTACTGGTGGAGTGAGACTTTTGATGCTGTGGTTGTGGCGAGTGGTCGTTACTGGGTGCCGTATATCCCGGCTGTTGAGGGCTTGGAGCAGTTTGAGAAGACGAGACCGGGGAGTGTGGTGCACAGCAAGCACTTCAGGGGTCGAGACTCTTTTCACGACAAGGTGAGTTGTGTGGCCTTAGGCAGTTATGATGCTAACATACCTGTAGAGAGTCGTTGTTGTGGGTGCTTCTGTATCAGCGGCTGATATCGCAGTTGATCTCGTCGACACAGCCAAATCACCCATTCACTGTGTAACCATCGGCCACACCACAAACGTCTTCTTCGGCGATGTAGCATTCCACCACCCCAAGATCCAGCAACATCCCTCCATCGCCAAAGTCGTCAACCGAACAGTGCACTTCATCGACGGGACCAGTGTTGCAGATGTAGACCACATCATCTTCGGCACAGGCTACAGCTGGACCCTCCCTTTCCTCCCCTCTCTCCCCGTCCGCAACAACCGAGTCCCAGGTCTATACCAACACATCGTATGGAACAAAGACCCCACGCTTCTCTTCGTAGGTGCAGTAGGCGCAGGTCTCACGTTCAAGATCTTTGAGTGGCAGGCCGTCTACGCAGCTCGTATCCTCGCCGGCCGAGCGACTGTACCTTCACAGGAGGAGATGCAGAAGTGGGAGGATGAGAGGATACAGACACACGGCGATGGACCAAAGTTCTCTGTTGTGTATCCGGACTTTGAGGATTATTTTGAGGCGGTGAGGGAGTTGGCTGGTGAAGGTGAGCCGGGGGTGGGACGCAAGTTGCCCAAGTTTAAGAGGGAGTGGTTCAGGAATTTTATAGAGGGTACGGAGTTGAGGAAGGGTTTGTGGAGGAGGTGGAATGCGAAGGCGAAGGCGGAGCTGGAGAAGCATGGTGCAAAAGCGAGGTTGTGATGGACATGTAGAGTTTTGGGATAGATTTCGCGTTTTACTTAGACCTAGAAGTAGATAGAACAAGCATATAGAAACCGTATCGGTCAAAAACACATGACATATGAATTACCAAGCTAGGTATGTATGGGAAAGGATATTGATGAGTTTAAGGCGCTATTGAGGTTTCACGCCATATCATCCTTTTTCTCTATTTCAAGTGCCAGATGCGAGCTATGGGTCTCTGTTACACAGGAGAATGAAAGATCACATCGAGTCTCTAAAAGGCAACTAAATAAGATATATTTCCAGGGGTAAACAGCTTAGTTTCCATGAACCGACGTTGTTATCCGCAAAGCTTACCCCATACCCCGGATTTTCAATGTGGAGCTTCTCCAGGGGATGTCATGAACTTGACTGCTTGACATGCCGGCAATGAATTTCCATTGAGTAATAGCTTGCTACGATCGAGCCTCTCAAAAACTTGGAGGATAGAGTTACACGAAACAGAAGACGAGGCGTTCATTAGTGAGCATGTGGTTTGGGTGTGTGTGCACCCCGCATCTTGCCGGAGATCGATAGTGAGTGAGCCATGACTTCTGGAAGCTTTCTGACATGAGTTTTGGGGATATGGAAGGTTAGGTCTTGGGATGATAAGAAACGTTGAGATGTTTCATGTTTTTGTTGTTTTGATAGGTAAGCTTTGGATGTTGAATTCTTATCGTAGCTGGGGATGATAAGCGAGTGCCGAGATGCGAGTTGGTGGAGTATCGGGATCGATGCTTGACTCCACCGAAATGTCCACTTGAGCTCTAGAATGTGACCCAGGGTATAATGTATAGTTTCTATTTACATATTCAACAGCATGATAGTGAAGGGAATTAATCACCATATAATGAAAACTATTATCCAGACAGCAAAATGTAGAATATCACTCAGAAATATATGTCTCATCTCGGCTTCCATAGCCTATCTCTTAGTTACCTTAGGGGAACCCAATAGCTTCACCTCTTATCAGCGTTACGTCGTCACAGCAAACCAATAATTAGCGTCCATTAGTGGCTGATAGTGAATGCACTTCCCCGCGTTTTTTTATCTCGTCCAATGGTCCAGGGCCTGGAGATACGTTGCCACGCCCCCCGGGCCCCCATGTCACGTCTCTAGAATCCCCCATTAAGGACCAACACCTCCATTGTTTCTTGCGAGGACGATCTTCTCTCCTTTTTCACATTTCATAGCTTCCAACCTCCTCGTTTACACAAAAGTGAGTGAGAGAGAGACGTGCAAAATGCAGACGAAAATATCAACAAAGCCGAATTGCAGAAGAGCTTCAAAGACAAAGAATGGTCCCAATCCTCGATCTCGCTCGGGTTGTGTTACTTGCAAGGCTAAGCATGTAGGTGAAGTCAGCTTGTTATGATATCGCATACTGACCATCTAGACAAAATGCGATGAGACGAGACCTGAGTGTCTGAGATGTATTCGAAAGGGTGTCAAGTGCGGTGGTTACTGGAAAGAGTTTAAATGGTCATTCAAGCATCAACCAGGCGAAGTAAACTTCGAGTTCACGGCCCCAACTTCACCAACATCTTCGCGAAGAAGCTCGACTATACAACCCGAACCATCATTCGTAGCGACACCTTCTGCGATATTCGATGTTCCGCTAGATACACCTGCTCCAGCGCTGGCTGAGGAGTTGCCAATCGAAGACAACACTTCAATTCTTGGTGACGCGAGCTGGACGACGAGTTCATGTACCGGGTCGGATAACGATATCTTTGCGCGGTCGAATTCCATCGTTGAAGAGAATATAAACGACATGACGGTTCAAAATGTCGAAATGACCTCTCAGGCACTTACTTCGACGAATGAATCTCAATACTTTGAAGGAACGCCGCTCACTGTTGGTCTTATAACCGACACTTCATCCCTCCTCATCAGCAACTGGTTCGAGCAAGTCTGTACGTTATGGTCTGGTTTCGACTCAGACTCTAACCTCAATCGAAAACTCGCTCTTGAGCTATGCACGAGTTCTCAATCTGTGTTTAGTTCATTGCAGAGCATGTCTGCTGGCTTCTTATCTACGCGATTACCGCACATGAAGCAATCGGCTATGTATTTCCTGCAAGCAGCTACTGGATCAGTTCTTTCAGAGGCAGAAGAGATTATTCAGAACCCAGCAGATAATATGCCCGCTGGTGCATTATTCTCGCTATTCTGTCTTGGAACGACGGTTTGTTGGGTTGATGCGAGACAATTAGGTCTACCATTCTTCCGATCGGCTCGAAAGATCCTGAACCGTCTCAACCGCCGTATTTCATCACTCTCAGCAAAAGATCTGGAACTCTTATCATTCTTCAACAGAAGTCTAACATACTGCGAAATGCTCCTCGCAGCAGTAAACCAAGACGACACAGCTCTCGACACCGACGATCCAGTCACAGGCCCGCAAACCGACTCCTCAATGCAACTAGCCGAGCGTTACATGGACAACTCACCGCACCCGTGGACAGGCATTTCCCCGCTCGCCTCTCAGCTCTTTGCCCAAGCGATAAGACTCTGCCGAAGCTTCCGCCGAAATCTCAAGCTACCCAAAGAAACAGGGCGTGACTTCCAGCGGGCTCTGGAAGAGATCCAAGAGGCGCAGCGGCTGGAGGAGAAGCTTCTTGGGCTTGAGTTCCAGAATACCCTTTGTGTTGCTAACACGGGAGATTATCGCACGCCGTCGCTTCATCTTGCGCAGGTCGCTGAGGCTTATAAACTTGCTGCGTTGCTGCAGCTGTACCAGACGTTTCCGGATCTGGTGGCGCTGCGATTACCGACTGATTCTGTTCATGCGAACAGTCGGCATATTCCTTGGGAGGAGTGGATTATCCCGTTGAGTCTGAGGCTTGTTAATGTTTTGGAGCATATTCCGCCCAATTCTGGCACACGCTGTATCCAGCCTTTGCTGTACATCACTGCGAGTACAGGTCTTCGTTATGATACTACGACGATGCTTGATATTTCTACCTCTTCATTCGATGCAGGTATCGGCTCGTCAAGCTTCCAGACTGATCCCTTCTCTATGGACATGCTGGGAACTTCACCGCCGCCTGCCAACTTAATATCGCGCATGTCGCTCGATATTAGCAACGCTCGGCATTTCATCACCGGTCGGTTGAACATGTTGGAGAGCAGCTTACCGCCGAAACCGGTCATGATGGCGAAGGAGCTCATCAAGGCTATTTGGGATGCGTATGATGGCGAAGCACCTGGTTCAGCTTCGGTGCATTGGGTAGATGTGATGGAGGATAACAACTTGAGATCAATGTTTGGTTAGGATTGAAAATGAAATTGTTTATTGAATCAATGTTTGGAGTTTATAGGGGAATATCACACACACAGTATGAGTTTAGCTTGGGTCATTGGCTTAATTGAGAGCTTCAATGAAGCATTCTAATCTATAGGATCCCATTATCCAGCCCTGTCCATCTATAGATCACCAATCTTTCGCGCACCAGTATAAAAAGCCAACCCCGTATCCGGCGACGTGAAAGTCAGCGTAGCGCCGTTGGGGATATAAAACACATCCCCAGCCTTGGCCTCGACCTTCTGGCCCGTCGAGTCCTCGATGACAAAGTTGCCCTCGAGGATGATCTTGCACTCATCGTACTTGTACGTGTATGTGAGAGGCTCGCCCTTGTTGACGCGGAAGAGACCCATGGCCAGGGGCTTCTCGGCGCCCTCGGGCGTGGAGTGGATGTCGCCGATGAATGTGTTGCCGCCTGCGAGATGGGGGATCTCGAATTTGGATTGGGCTTGGGGGAAGTGCTTGAAGGACGCCATTTTGGTGGTTTTTGAGAGTAACTTATAAGGTTGTTTGAGTGGAGAGAGGAGTGTTTGAGTGAGGAGATGAAGTGTTTGAGATTGAAGTAAATTGCTTGATGCTAGATACAGATACAGACAATCGAGGAAAAGACCCTTTCATATACCCATCTCTCGAGCCTCATCCTCCCTCAAGATACTTACTTACTCACTTTAGTTTCACACATAAGCGGCGAGGTTAACCATCACCAAAAACATTCATTCCCTCTTTGGAGCAATGTTACCGGAGTGTTTGCGGGGAATGATAAGATGGCGATAGCGTCGTTTTTCCTATTTGGGTCAAGTTGTCCGGAGATTCCAAGATGGTGGGGTTCACGGCATGCGGAGGTCGCGGGGGCGTGCAACGTCCGTTTGGAGAAGCGATTTCCGGTTTGTGCAATGATAGATACGTAGCTTGCTTTTACGAGAGGGAAGTGATAGTGGGATGGTGGGTTAAAATGGGTGGTATGGCTGCTATAAGTGTGTTGAGGGTTGTGTATATATGTGTTGACTTACACGGTTGTTTTACACCACAAGTATCTTCTATGGTACTCTCACTTCAAGATAGTACTTCTCTTGTCCAGATCATCATGGACTTTTCATTATCATCCTTCGGCCCTCATGAAGCCGTGATACTCCTCAGCATCATAACAAGCCTCGCCCTTCTAGGCTACAAACTCAACGACATCATCCAAAGCCGCAAAAGCTTCCGCTACAAGAGCAAACTCCCCCCCGTATCATCAAACTACCAACCCAGCGACTACAAAACCCCCGTCCCAGAACCTTACCCCAACTGGTCCATCGAAAAGACAAAGCCCCTCCCCTACAGAGCATTCCGCTATGGCCCCAACTACCAAGTCACCATGGGTCTGCGTACATGTCCCGTAGAGGAGTGGATTGAGCTGGATAACCACTATCCGAAATATCACGCTGATAAAGCGGCGAGGATTAAGGAGAGAGGAACCAAGTGTGTTGATACGCATCCGGATGCGTATCCTGCTGCTATTGAACTTCTGCAGGAGTTGGCTGATTATCTGCCTGCGAGATATCCCAGTCTTTTTGAGCGGACGGCTGTTGGGATCAAGAACAAATGGTCTGGCGAGGACTTTAACATTGTTGAACGCCCACTGGCTGAAGATCCCATGGCTATCTGCTCACGTCTCATCCAAGATGATCTCGCAATCATGATCGAACGCCCTGATGGCCAATACTATCTCCTCGCCGGGGCAATTCTCCTCGCTGGTTTCTGGCGTCTCTCAGACAAATACGGCATGTCCCTCTCGGACATCCACACATCAGGCGACGTCCCCCATTTCAAGGAAAAGCTCGAGACCGGAATGTGCAAGTTCTTCAAGCGCCTCCGCCCAGAAACAGTGTACAACCGCAACAACTACTTCATTCAAGTCGACGAGAGTCTAGCCTGGAGCTGGAGTATCGGCAACGAAGACGCACCCTCTGTGAGCTGGAGCACCGCTGAGAAGGACAGGGCTGTAGAGCACCACATGTTTCGGTCTGAGCGACAGTCTCTGAGGCGGTTGCCAAAGACTGGTGGTGTGGTGTTTACCATTAGAACGTATTTCCACCCTGTGACGGAGATTGCGCAGGAGGATTACGTTCCGGGGAGATTGGCGAGTGCGGTTAGGAGTTGGGATGACAAGGTTGCGAATTATAAGGGCAAGCAAAAGTATGGCGAGGTGCTGTTGGAGTATCTTGATAGAGAGCATGAGAAGCAGTTGGCGAGGGGCTTGGAAGTTGAGAAGGAGGGCGAGATTAGGAAATACCCTTGGTAGATGGTTAGTCCTGAGTTGGTAGAGCAATCTTATGTCTGTTATGCATTGTTTCGAAAGATTACGAGTTATAAATGAAGCATTTACCTGAAAGTTTACAGTTGAGACTCTCGTGGTGAGGAGAAAGGTTTTTGGTCGATGCTAGACTTGTCCAACCGTTCTAAGGTTCTTGTTCTTCCCAATTATATCAACTTGAAGAATGAAGTCATCACGATGTGCTGATCACAGAGCTTTCAAGTATATCAGAAATAAATTAACATCGCTACATAAGATCCCATATTCCTACTTCACTCAATTGACAGTCCACTTCCTCTCCCATCCAGGGAAGAAAGGATTCTCTGCCAACGTAGTAACCTCCCAATCCTTAGGAATCAACCCCTTCTCAATCTGCTCCCTCTCCCACTTCCTCAGCGTCGGCTTCGTAACATGCTCAACATGCCACGTCCCCTTGTACTTCATGATATTCTCCTTGCCCTCATTCAACACCTTCAGTACGAGAGAGGGAACGTACGGTTCATCTCGAAACTCAGTCATTGGTGTGAACAAAGCCTTGAAGTTGAAGACGATAGCGCCCGAAAGAGGCAAGCGACGCAGGGTCTGCCAGTCAACTCGAAGAGAAATGTCTTTCTCAGTAAGAGAGGGGTTTTGAACTTGTCGAGTCATGAACTCGGGGTCTTCGGCGGGGATGAAGAGCGGTTCACCGACTTCGAGACCCCAGGATCCGCGCTGGATGGGACTGTTGGTAGGCATTTTAGTGAAGAATCTACCATTCAATTAGCAACGTATTACTGGGTTAGGGCTCAGGTTAACGTACCGGTCCATGCTAAACTCCATCTTCTCCTTGTAATCAGGCACTGGGGCATGTATCTCCGGCAATCCCAGCCCGATCTTCTCACTCAGCTTCCACCCAACAGAGGAACAAATCACACCAGCTCTGAAGCAATATCGTCCTGTCGCAGGATCTCGCAGTGTGAGTGCAAAGTCCTCAGGGACGTGGTTAAGAAGGAAGAGTAGAGGCTCGGTCTTATCAAGATCTTCCTTGACTCCCAGAAGGTGATTGACAAATATTTTGCCGTGGAGTTCAAATGCTTGGGGATACCGCGCGCAGAGGAATTGAATGACCATTTCCATGAGTTCTTTGCATGCGAGTTCAGAGCCGGGCAAGGCCTGGAGGACATCTTTGCCGTGCTTTGCGTAGAGAGTTTGTCGCTGAGCCACGCGTTCGCGATATGTGTTCTCTATCTCTAGCCAGAAGTCTGGGTCCATCTTCTTCAACGCTTTAAAGAGTGTTAGTCATTCGTAGCTGTATTGAGGTGATTGAATAGCACTTACACATGGTCTGGTGATAAGCCCACCGGAACGGGCGATATGGTCTGGGCATTGCTTTGTCGACATTGAAGCTCTTTAGAGGCTCTGGTAAAGGAACACCCGACAGCTTTGCATAATCAGGGAAGTCCCCAAGTCGTCTGATCTCACCAACACTGAAGCTGGTGAAGTTGAAGGTCCCGGCATTGGCATAACGATAGTCCTCATCCAACCTCAGAAGAGGTTTTGATGCCACAGAAAGATCAACATCGCCAGAGCCAAAGTCTGGCGATATCCCAGGAAGAGCGTGTCTTTGCGATGGAGGATAGACAGTAGTATAGTCGACAGGAGCAGTCTTCTTTACAGGTTCTGGTGGGGGAGATGACGGATACGCATATCGATTGAGTGTCTTTCGCTTGTACACGAGCGCATGAGCCAAGAGACTCAAACACACACAAGCACTGGCACAAAACGATACAACAAGTACAGTATGTACCGTATTAGGATGGAGACTCTCCGAAAAGACAAGCATGATGAGAAATATCCTTCACCAAACAAACAATAGTATCGAGTAATTACAGAGTCACAATCATCTACACAGCAGCCTTCTTCTTTTTCTTTATGCCATACCTTGCTTGTACGTCAAGCATATCGTCAAGATAAACGCCAGTGAAACCCAAATCTGGTTACATTTCGAGGAGTGCCTGCGGGTTAACATAACCCTTTTGGGATGGTCGAATGAGAGACAGGCCAAACGCGGGGTACAGTAGCGTTATCGCGCGAGAGGGTGACGTAGATAGTCTCGAGATAGGGAGACGTATCTATGCCACGGATGGGGAAATGCTTTACGGTCGTGGTGGGTGGGGTTGGGCTTCTTATCGTGATGTTGTTTGTTGATGTTGGTCAGATGATGGCTGTGTATGCTTCTGTACATGGCCAAACACCCCGACATTCGCGCTGGATATGCATGTCCAGGTCATTTGCATAGTTCCGCGTTGTATGTCCTATAATTTCATAGCGGAAAGTGTTTTGGTGTTAGTTTGACCTCATGACTGGGCTTAGGCAAGTATTGGCTAATCCTTCACATCCGTCCCTTTATCGGATATTGACACCAACCAGTAGTGGACGGGCTTGTATACAAGTTACCCAGTCTTTCACAAAGGACAGTTTATTCTTAGCTTGAGCTAGTATGATACTCAGCCATTAAAATCAGCTGAGTCTATAGTTGTTGGGTCTCCAGGTCTACGGATGGAAGCGTGCTGGCCTGTTAGCTGATGGAATTTTCTATTCAACCCAACTTGCATCAGACACCTCAGTCGCCTCTTGATTCATTTTAAAGATCAGTTTCAAAGATCCTTCCTTCTAAAACCGCGGTATTGTCATACAGTTCACTTTCCGCGGACTCTCTGAAGTATCGATAATGGTCAATGACTTACATGTCTCTAGATTTATGATTTAACTAGTCATAGCTGATCTAACCATTCGATAAGACAGAATAATACAAATAAAGAGAATTTGAAAATAATGGACTCTTTATTCATTGTACTTGTCCCAGTCTTGCATAATATGATTAAATATGAACAACTTTTATAGCACACACTCGAAGACCCACCAAGAGTTCTTCAACATGCATACTAAACAATGTGTTTCTATAGACGATTAAAATCAGAAAATGACCCCTGATATTACTTAACAGCTCATGATAGTAATTCACCTTACCATCATACATATCGGAGATACAGTTAAACACCCTGACGGGGATAGTGCTTATGTCCGCACGTCATGTTATGATATAGGGTTCTGACATTGATATCAAATCTTACGTGTTCCTCAACCTCATCTTCCCTCCTACAACATCATCAAAACCATCTCAAATATCCAAAATGTGGG